TGTTGATCGATAGTGGTAATATGCTGTAGAAGCCAAGAAGGCGGCCTGTCAAGGTTGTTACCGCCTGAAAAATTTAGACCGAAAAACAAGAAGTCCTTATATCATACCAAAGGCATGCAGCCTCTGATAATGCCTCGGCGGTGTTTGTTTGACGCGCCGATTGGGGCTCAGGACTGCAAATCAAAGGCTCGCAAAATACATGTTTTGGCACACCACTCTGAATGGCTGGCTGGTATTGACCCGGCCGACCAAGGCGGTCTGGACGCAGCATCGATGCCACCCTTTTCTAGACGGTCAGGTAAACTGAACATAGCAGGCCTCCAGCACCCGCGCGGAGACCCTTCGGGCAGTTGTCGTCCTCACCTGGCACATGGCTCCTCCTTCCGGTGTCCGTCCTAGGCGGTAAGAGGGCGCGAGAGGGAGAGAGGGAAAGAGAAGGAGAGGAGGGGGAGGGAGCCGGTACCACTGCCGGCTGGTCGGTCAGTTCAGAGGAGGGAGGGGGAGACGCGCACCACAAGTCCGTGTCGGGGCCATCACTGGCGGCCGCCCTACGAGGCCGACCGGATAAACGCGTACCAGATGATGCACGTGACCACGCAGATGAAAATGAAAATGAAGAACACCACCAGGAACACGCGCCAAGGCTCCATGGTCGCGGCGATCAGAGAGGCGCCGGCGGCGGTGGCGCAGCGGGCGGGCCCGCGGGGGCCGGCACGTGGCGGCGGCGGGGCATCAGGCGGCGCCGCGGCCCGGCCTGCCCACGCGCCCCTCACACGCGGCCCGGGCGGCGCTCTGCATCGGGGGCACCACAACGGCCGCGCCTCCGACCTCGTGTGCCGCCGCCGCCGTCCGCGCGCCGCGCCGGGCTAAATCGATTGTTTTGGAGTGCGCGGGCGGCGGTGGTGGCGGCGCGCCCCCAGTGGGCCGGCCGCGAGAGCCAGAGGTCAGTGCGAGTGAGGCGGATTCCTCGGAGCGTTGTGTTGGGTTCATGCTGGCTGGTCGCGCAGTAACGCTGCCTGGTTCAGTGGGACGTTGTGTTGGGTTCATGCTGGCTGGTCACGCAGTAACGCTGGCTGGTCGCGCAGTAACACTGCCTGGTAACACAGTAACGCTGGCTGGTCGCGCTGGAGCGCAAGGGAATTTCGCGGTCTGTTCTCGCAGTAGGAGAAACAGATGGCGTCACTGCAAAGTGTTGATAGAGCGATCTGTTGAATTCGGCTTCAGCGAATCAGTCGGGTTAGGCTCGCCCCGCTTTGCTGTGACCGCAGTGATGTTACAACGCTTGTGAATTTGATGTCGTATAGAAAACAAGCCATTTCATTTGCTGCAGATGGTAAAACACGGTTTAGTTTGTTTGTTTATTGAAATTCAAAACGGTATAGTCGAGATGAACAATTTTGATGGAACATGATAAACATATGTACAGTGCTTAAACCGAGCAGCAGGGATTCGGAATATGCAAACGGCACATTTATGTTACCAGCAAAATCCTGCTGTAAGCACCAACTCGCGAACACTGGCAAACAAAGTAATCGGTCACGACATTAAAGGCCATTCTGCTCCACACAAAAATATTTTAAAGTCTGGTAAGGTACTCCTGCGCGGGGATGCTGTCTGGCCAGATCCCTAAGTTTGCACTGGCATAGTCACTCAATAAACAGCAAGATGACACCGGCGATCAACAACGACAGAAATAAGAGGTGTTTCGGATACTGCAGCAGCAACGTGAGGGGAGTATTTAGCTTCGCTCATCGATACATGACCAACTGAGCTGCTGACCGGTCTACAAAGCCATTATGCAGGGACAGTACAAGCATGATGCATTGTCATCTATATCCAGACAAAATAGCGAGAACGACGGAGGAGGGTCCATGGTTACATTGAATCTGGATGAAGTTGAAGAGGCAGCATCCTGTGCACCATCCGACATAATATTGCTTCTATGTGTCGGTACATTATTCAGCGAAGGCTTTCGCACGTTGCAAAGCTCTCACTTTTACACGACAGCAGTGGCCAGAAGTTCGGGGGCACGGCTTGGCAGGTGGGAACGGCCCACATTGCTACAGAGAGTATGGGACTTATAACGCGTACAACGATGTCACACATCCCACACCAAAATGTAAAAATTTCATCGTCGGCATTCGGTCAAGATCATAACACTATTGCTTAATTTTCCAGACCTCCTCGCAAGATCAGCCAGGCGTCCCAAACACGCGCGCATCCGCGCATCCAGTTACCATAGTGTTACCTTTGTATAGGCGCCACTGCGCAGCTAGTGGGCAGAATGCATACGGGCGGAGCACAACGGGCCCGCCAAGCGGCGGCCAAGCGCCGGGTGCCGCTCGCAACAACTAACGCCATGCAACCAACTAGACTGTTTCTTATACTAACGAGGGTGTTGCCTGAGCATAGCTCATGGTGTTAGTGTGACGTCAGTCACAGCTGAGAAAGTACATCAAGGTACATGCAAGGTAGTTGTACTGACCCGGCGCACCGACATTGGCGTGCGTAGGTCCATTTGCCAACGTTTTTATCTTGCAAGGCATGCAGCTTTAATAGCACAGTGGCATTCTTGAGGGTCTGGCTACTTCGCAGCATCACAAGACAGCCCAACTGGAATGGTACTAAACATGCTAGGCTTGCATACCCGCACCAGAAAGACATTCAAAACGCCCCTTTAAAGCTTTTTGGTGAGGCTTAGTACAGGACCCCCACATCTAGGTTGTTTTGCCTATCCCAAAGCTCTTGCGCTTCACACAAGAAAGGAAACTAGTCTACCTTTCCAGCAATCTGGCAATGAACGGCATTATTTAGTGTCCGTTAACATGCAACATGCAAAAATAAATAGCTCAGAGAATTATACCTGGATTCTGTGTCGTTCAGAATCACATTTCGCTACCTTGCGCGGTTAGTCTCGTGTTACAGCCAATGTCAGGCATCTTTGGTCTGACGCAACGGCGGGATTTCGGTCCATCAATGGCCTTCCCACTCTCCCGACGCGGAGGCGGCAGCTTTCCGCGTGCGGCTATCAGCTGACTTTTGCAGCAACTCCTGAGTCCGCCCAAGCTAGTGACGAAAAATGGACATTTTTTTCTAAAATACTTGGACAGCTTTGCAAATGTGAATTACTCCTTGACCAACATGTTTCACGTTATTCTGACTAAACAACAAGCAAATCTGCCTTAAGAGTTAATGGATGATCGATTGCTGATTGAATAGTCTGCACTATTTGCATTGAAAGTCAGTGCTGCTTATAAATGAAATTTTCAAACTAAGACGTTACCTTGTGAAAAATAATGAATGATGCAGCCCACACACATTAGATGTGTCACCCGTTGTATCGCAGCTGGTTGGCAGAGCTGTTTGATCGTAATATTAGATATACACCACGGGAATCATTAATAAAATGTTCTGGATAACGATTTTTGGTGAAAATCAGCAGGATCAGAGCACAGGGATGCATTTGAAGTGAGCATGATTACACCGAGATTAAACCTCAGTGAAGCCAAAAGTGGACAAACTGACCGTCAAAAAGTGTTGCACGCACCCGCACTTTAGACAGCAGAGAACGACAGAAAAGTGGGTGAGAGCCTTTTGGATTCACCTGAATAATACACGATAACAAAAGACATGTGAAAACTGTATCATGGATCGTTGCAATTATGCAACATGTACCGCATCGACCCATATTCAGTCGCGATGTTACACGGTGTGAAACACACCATCCTTTGGTATCGAAACCTTCATGTAGGCAGCATTTTGTTGGTGTTTGACAGCGGTGATTGGGGATCTACGACCCAATACATAAAACACCATATCTCATTCCATATTTACAACACTCCTACGCCAATGTAAATTCCAACCAGTCATATTTGCATGCATGAGTATGTGGACGCCGGCTCGGCGAGTGTCACAACCCCACAAACCTCTACGAATATCATTCAACAGTTCCTGTTCAGGTAATCTCCTCGACATTGCTGGGAGAAAACAACGCCCCCACCGTCAGCTCGCCGAGCACTCTCCATCCGGTGTTCACAAAGTGAGAAGCAATACCGCGACGTCGGCGGAGCCTGCCAACGCCGCCGGTCGAAGGACCCGGGGAGGGAGGGGGAGGGGGGAGGGGGCTCTCGCGCCGACGTGCCGACCCCCGGTGGGCGAGGCGGTGGGGTGCCGACCCCCGGGCGGAGCGGAACCACCGAGCACAACTAATAAGCCGGAGGAAGTCGGGACAGAGGGTGGGCGCACGCTCCGCGCTCCCCACATACCACGGACGACCGTGGAGGCCCGTTGGCCGCGTCTGGTGAGCAACTACCTACTTATGTACACAGTGCCGCAGTCGAGAGTTTTCAGCGGGGGCACATAATTTCTGGAGCCGATTTTATTGAAATTGCCTTCCGCCAGCGCACCCCGCGCGGCTATGGCCGCGTATCGCGCTAGGCAGCGAGGCCGCGGCAGTAATCTCATGAAGACCCGCGTCGTCAAGTCTTTCAAGACTCCATCCGAGATAAGCGATGGACTTCGCACAGTGCTGAATAGCTATCCTGGTGTTGCGCAAAAAAATCGGCTTTCAGATGACGCGATGAGCGTCTCGCGTGTTTGACTATATGAGGCCTCGAGCGCGTGGCGTTGCTGCCCCTGACGGGGGCCGGAAACCTCCGCTGTTCAGTCAGCGTGAGGACCAGTGATGGCCTTGGGTCACCAGCCATGATCCAGAAAAAGTGGGTGTGTCGGAAGAGCCAGATCTGAGAAAGGCATCCCTACGCGGCTTAAGCGTCTTAACAAAATGCCGCTGTGTTGAGGCTCCACTTCAAAACAGTGCAGATTTCCGGCGGCCCCCACAGCCAGTTCATGATGAGTACCTCAGAGGGCCATTTTGGCCTTTTTGCACTGTCTGCACCGCCCCCCCACGTCCGAACGCTATATGTTCACTGGGCGAAACGTCATGAAGGCATAACTTCATGGCAATTGTGCACGCCAACGATCAAAATCCGGGGGGGGGGGGCAAGGTGTATCCCACGCGCCCTGTTAACTACGGCACTGTATGTACACCCCACTCGGCGCTCCACGGTGAGGCAGGGACAGGGAGCCGCCTTCAGGAGCCTCTGCAGAAGTCCTCGGTACCCGCCACCAGGTGCCCACACCGCGCGGGGATGCGCGTCTTACGATATCCCCGGCGCCCGGGCAGGCGGCCTGCCTGATGCCCACGAGGTGCGGGCGGAGCCCTCCTGCCCGGCGCAGACGACAGACCCCTTCAGCCGCCCGGCGCCGTCTCGTCGGCAGCACTACGAGAACGAGCTGCGCCGCGAGTCTATGCTGGGCACCAGGTTCCGGCCGAGGTTGCCCATGGAGAGTCGCGGCTTGATCTTGCTCACGCCGTCGCCGCCGTGGCTCGTGGGCACCGTCAGCGAAGAGATGCGAGATGTGCGCGGCTCGATCGACAGCGACCTGCCAGTAAAGGTCGGGTCAGGTCACGGGCCAGGTCTCAGGTCAGGTCACGGGCCAGGTCAACGGCCAGGTGACGGAGCATGTCACAGGCCAGACGAAGAGTCAGGTCAAAGGTCAGCGGTCAGGGCATGGGTTTCGATCCAGGGAGCGGGTTAGTTTGGCGCCCAGGTCACGATCAGGTCACGGCCAGGTCAAGACTGCGGGACAGACTCAGGGCGACAGTTAAGCGTGCCATAGCGTCATGCGCTTACTCGGGCGGGAGGGGGTGAGACCTGTCCGTGCAGCATGAGATGAGTGAAACGTTGGGCGAACGGCGTCAGATGAATGTATCAGTCCTCTTGGGAGAACGCACGCACACACGCACATGCGCACACACGCACGCACGCGCACACACGCGCACGCACGCACACCCACAGCACACACGCACACCCACACACACCCACACACACATACACACACATACACACACACCCACATACACACCACCACACACACCACACGCACACACACCACACACACACACACACACACACACACACACACACACACACACACACACACACACACACACACACACACACACACACACACACACACACACACACACACACACACACACACACACACACACACACACGCAGATCCACATTTCAGTAACAGCAAGTCGGTCTCGGAAATACACGCCTATATCACGGCAATCTCGTAAGCAGGTCACCAGCGCCTTCACTAAACCAATCCAGGCGTCTCTAGCGGCCCATTCTCGGCCTAGTACTGGCACATGCCGTGTACAGGTGTCGTTAATCGCCGTGCTGCTCCGCCTGGATGGGCGTATCAGCAGCCCACTGGGGGAGCTCTCCCACAGTAAACGGCGTCTCACATCCCACCAAGCTGGCTGTGGCCTCGCTCTGGACCGACAATCCCCGTGACTGAGACGGTTCGGCGCATCCCCTCGAGCTGACGTTGAACAGTCGGCGAAACGGCAGATGCGCATTCAAGTGTGTATTTGCTTGTGGAGAGGGGGAGGGGGCACCGGAGACGCGTGTCCCCTTATCAAATACCTTCGTGCCTATGCGTGAAAAATCGTGACAGACACGTAAAATGATGCGTTAGAAGTGTGCGATGTTTTTCTAAGCAAAGAAAAAAGCAATTATGCGTACCGACGACACGTTGTTTTTACGTGTGAAAAAGGGTGTGTACTTCCATCGTAAAATCCTGGATACGTTTCTGTCGGACGGAGTACGCTAAACACAGACCAGTACCGGAGATACAGCACCAGACCACCGGCGCCACTCACATCTCGTAGAGGTCGTCGTTGCTGAGGCCGCACGCAGACGTATCCAGTAGGTAGGCCGACACCTTGGCGTTGTACTCGATCTTGTACGGCGTCTGTTGGAACCGGCGATTCTCGCGGATCACGTGCGCGATCTGTGACGTGGGGTACCGCGTGAGAAACGGGAAGCCACGTGAGAGACGAGAGAGACCGCGTCTCGTGCGGGGAAAGGCCATGTCGCGTGTGGGGAGAGACCGTGTCACGTGCTGGGAGAGGCCGCGTCACGTGCTGGGAGAGGCCGTGTCACGTGCTGGGAGAGGTCGTGTCACGTGCTGGGAGAGACAGTGTCAAGTGAGAGGGAAACTGCGTCACGTGTGGGGAGAGGCCGTGTCACGTGAGGGGAGAGGCCATGCCACGTGTGGAGAGAGACCGTGTTACGTGTGGGGAGAGACCGCATCACGTTTGGGGTGAGACCGCATCACGTTTGGGGTGAGACCGTGTCACGTGTGGGGAGAAGTAACGCGAGCAGTGGAGCGCCCATCACGGCAAGACAGGGCAAGGACACGAACGGGGAAACCATCGGGGCATCAGCTACGCTACGAGGACCGGGGGACAAAATTTGAGGGCATATCCAGCGTTTAAAAGCTTATCTGTCCGTGGAACGTCATCAGCGCAATACCAAAGTCGCAGAAGATGGGGACTTGTCTCTATTTTCTGAGGCGGAATCCACACTCCGGGACACCGGTCGTCAGTTGCCAGTTGCCAATGCATGGTCCAAAGTTCACGGCATCCGCACGGTCCAGGGCAACATCATTCATCGTTATCAAATCTCATTTGTCAGTTTTCAGGAGCGCCATAAGTTGACATTCGTTTCCAGACGGCATTATGGCCGTTTTCCGGCTCATTCTGGACATTAAAAACGCTTAGGAAGTGGATGATTCCCGACTCTCCTCTGCCAGGGTTGCTGGGTATGCCGGCATGAACGACACGCCAGCAGTTGCACACCATAAACACGTCGGCCAATACTGTTCCATGTCAAACACACCATTCATGGGAAGATCGTTTCAATTACACTGATGGTAAATACAGTTTACTCGCCACTGGGGAGTAAAACATCACGCACAGCCATTTTCTGAACACGCGACATCGTCATGACAAGACCAGTTTATCCTTAACGCTTGTGCCAAAACCGTGCTGCCTAGCAGAGCGTACACAAGCAATATGCAGTTTGTGTGAAGCTGTGCAATTTCTTTTCAATAAGTTTTGGTAACGTTGAGTGTGTTCTCCACAATTCGTAGAAGCTCAAACTTAACCTGGAAAGTTAACAACTTTACCTGACATTGTTACGTTGCGCAGAAAGACCCTTCTTTGAAAAGGTTTTGGAGTGTTCCTACGGTTCCGGTACTCATTGTTCTCATGTCACACTGACATCACGGGCGATAAATGCTCCTTGCATTACTACCTGCTGGGTCATGATCAAGATAGTAGGAGGATATTTCTGACCAGTGCGTGACCAATGTTCAGGAAAAGTGTAATGCCCGGTGTACATCAAACGTGGCCGGTACAATTACCGCTACAGACATCACAAGATAAGAACTGGCCATGTAATGCTATGCCGTGTGCACACAGCGCACAGTTAAAAACGCAACTTTTTGTGAAATACACATGAACGGTTTGCATCAAAAGACCCGACAAACAATTCATTTCCGACTTCCTTGCCATCAATGTTATCAGATCCAAATCCATCATCACCCGGCTATACATCCTGAATAGGCCCGCTACTGGTGACTGCCGCATGGCATGTCCGAGGATTAGCATCAATTCGCCAGCACTAACGCGATACTCGGCGCTCTCACCAACAAGATCAAACAAGAAATATGAGCCAGGCTGACACGCAGCGCAACAGGCCCCGCCCTCAGCCCCCTGCAGGTCACGATGCCCGTGTCTGACGGAGGTGACGGCGGGATTCTCGGGAGGCCGGGAGAGGCCCCGGGAGGCCCCGGAGGCCCCGGAGGAGGCCCGCCCGGCACGGCGGCAGGCGCGGGTGACGCACCATGGCCACGCGGCCGGCGCGGAGTCGCGCCCCGGGAGAGGTGGAGGCAGCGGGGTCCGAGTCCGACGGCGCTGGCCGGGCGCCATTGATTTATCGGACACATCCCGGCGGCGGGCGACACCGCGCGCGCGTACGGCGGCCGCCCGCCGCCGCCGCCCGCCGCCGCTCATCACCTGATCAATGTGCAGGCGCGCCGCCCCGTCAGCACGCGTCCACATGATCAATGAACAACTTCTTGGCAGGAAGTCTTCAAAAGCTGACTAGTAAGCAGGCGGCGGCCAGCCGCGGCGAAGGAAGCCGCACCGACCACACCGACGACCAGACCGACGACACCGGTGGGACCGATGGCGGGACCGAAGACGGACCAGTCGGGACCGCCGAAGGGACCGACGGCACCGATGACGAGACCGACTGAACCGACGGGACCAGCGGGGCCGTCGATGGGACCGCCGGGACCGACGACGGGACAGATGGGGCCGACGATGGGACCGACGGGACCGATTACGGAACAGACGGGACCGTGATGAAACAGACGGGACCGACGTCTGTGCGGCGGCGCCGAAGCACGGTGAAGTCATGGGCGTAGAGGTCATCACGACGAAGCGAGCTCGCAGCGGGGTACGGTGACAGGTGAAACCGCAGCTCTAGTCCGGCGTGCTCTCGTGGGACAAGCAGCTGAGTGCCGTACTGCGTGGAAGTACTAGGCAAAGACTGGGCTCAAATAACGCGTTATGGTGAGGTGGGTCGCCGCAGAAACAGAAACGTAATACTGAGTCAATGCCGTTGCGCAAAGTCCATCCGCCACCGTCTGTTGTTTTTAGTTTGTTTTTTAGTTCGCAGGCGGCTAACTTACCTGATTTTCGCCGAAGTTCATCCTGAACATTGCACAAACACATACTAAGCTCAAGTTTTAAGGGCCTGCTTGAGCTGTGCCTGATGTGAAGAGAAGACTAAGCAGCAAGCACGCAAAAAGGCGAACGGCACACTCCGTAACCTGAGGTTTTATCGGAAGATCTTACATCATGGCAAGTGTACAGATGGGATACATTTGTTGCAAGACGAGTATTTACTCGATGCTTTCGTCGGAAGTATAGATTCTCTGGTCGTCTCGGTGTCAAATTATCTCCGACACGCTGATGAGCACCATTCACGAACACATGAACACTTGCGCACGAGCTCTTTCATCCTGTTATGCGCTTTCTGATTGGCCCACAACATCACCCGTCTTCATCTGCCAGCCGAATGCCGCGCCGGCGCGAGAGCGCGGCCGAGCCCCCGCCTGCCAGCGGCCGAGCGCCCTCACCATGCGCATCTTGGCGAAGTTGAGCAGACCGTCGTCGGTGAAGTTGGGCGTGCCCTCCTCGATGAAGCTGAGCTCGGTCAGGTACATGCCCAGGTAGGGGATGCACGGCGGGTCGCAGCGGTGCAGCGTGTCACGCAGGTTGCGGAAGTTGCCCTCAAACGAGACGAGCTTCTGCAGTCGGCTGACGGTCTGCTTGGTCTGGGGGAGGGGGGGGGGGGGCGGGGTCACAGCCCAGTGGTGCGGTGAACTGCCCGACATGGTGCTGCGGCTAGGAACAATGAGTTACACCACCTACTGCTGGACGTGGGGGAAAGAGACGTGGGCACAGACGTGCGAAGGAACGCGTCAAATTCCAAACTCCGGCCACTACCATATTGAAAGACACCTAGGGGCTTACGTCTTAGACATATACGACCTAGGAGACCCCAGTGGCACCTAGAAATATGACCCACACCAGTCCGTTCCATTAGCAGCGCACAGTCAACCACACACGGTCAAGACCGTGTCCAACGCACCGTTTTGCTGACTTTCTCCCAGGTCCGCTTGAGACGGAAAACGGGCGTGTTCGTGAAGGCGGCGCATATCTGCAGGACGCCGTTGAAGTTCTGCAGACACCGGCAGATGTCGCCCACAGCCGCCCACTTTTCTATCACCTGCACCCGGTCCGATGAGTTCTTGTTCCTCAAGATCGACGAAACGACCAGTACCGACATCTGAGAGCAGATACATCACGACGACCGGCTGAGGGAACGTTCCGCGAAACTCCGCCGACTCGATCGCATAGAGGGAACGTTATTTACTTCCAGAAAAGTTACCACGTTCGCTTTTACTGCGAGCCGCTCGCCAAGAGCACCTTTGTCGAACCAAGAAAGACGAACCTGGGAGTGTTGTGACTAGGAAAGGATCGATGATTTGAAAGCTTCGAAGCATTTCAGGGCATGCAGCAGGAAAACAGAATGAATGCAAGCAACGAGTGGGCCTATCTCCTGGAAGCACCCTCAGAGATATTTCAAGGGTTTTGTCTTGGAACTTTTTCTTTGATTTAAAGTTTCTTTTCGGACCATATAAATGTTAATTCATATGCGAGCGCTCCAGACCTTTTTGGAAGGGTTGTTGGCTGAAATGATTGCGCAGCGTGGACGGAAACTGCGCTCCATCTCCTGTTGTCTTCACATTTGAGGCTGGTGAGTCACGCAGGCAAGGATGGTTCTTTTGATCAGCCTGCTTGATATCCCTGTACCATTCGTCAAACCAACTTATCCTGCCCTGTATCACAACAATGCGCTCATGTGGCTCCAAATGACTGGTGCGTCCAAACACCGATCGTAACCGCGCTGGTGCTTTTCCCCCATTTACTGCACTTAGATGTGTAATTCTGATGTGCTCAAGTCAGTACTGAAGTACGCTTCCGAGTGCATCCGAAACCCAGACGCCGAAGAGATCAGGAGTCATCACGAATTCTTCTCCGACCATTCTCGATCCAAACAACAGCTAATCAGCCAACAAAGGCCAGATTTAGAACCAAAATCCCCGAGGATCACTCCGAACTTCTTTAGAGATGATGACGTAAAGTACCCTTCGTAATTACCATCGATTGAAAAGGCTAGAATTCTATCAATCCCTATCCCTCTTCTGGCATCCATCTTATCGCAGACGACCGAACTATTCACTATTAAGCCTCCTCGTCCTATCATGCTGGCTGATTTCAGCACACGCACCCAATAGACGCACACTGCAGTCGTTCTCCCTCACTCCCTCACTCCCTCCCTCCCTCCCTCCCTCCCTCTGCCTCTGCCTCTGCCTCTGCCTCTGCCTCTGCCTCTGCCCTGCCCTGGCCGTCTGCTTGCTCTCTCTGCCTCTGCTCTGCTCTGTCTCTTTGTCCCCCTGTCTCTGTTGACTCTGCTGATTCTGCTCTGTCTGTCTCTCTGTCTCTGTCTTGTCTCGTGCTCTGTCTCCGTGTCTCTGTCTGACTGTCTGTCTGTCTCTGTCTCTGTCTGTCCTTCTGTCTGTCTCTTCTCTCTCCTCTCTCTTCTCTGTCCTCTCTCTCGCCCGCTCGACTCCTCATCCCGGCGCTCCTCTCGCCTCTGCTCCCTTGCTTCTCTCGCTGTCATCGCGTCTCGCGTCTCTCCCTGCTGCTCCGGCGTCTCTGCTCTGGTCGTCGCTCTCCGCTGTTGGATCTCTGTCTGTCTCTCTCGTCGCTCTCTCTCCTTGCTCTCTCATCCTTCTGCTCTCGGGCTCGAGCGCCTCCTCTCTATGCGGCTCTCTCTCTCTCTCGCTCTCTCTCGTCCTTCTCTCTCTCTTCTCTCTCCTCTCCTCCTCTCTCTCTTCTCTCTCTCCCCTCTCTCTCCTCCCTCTCTCTCTCTCTCTCTCTATCTCTCTCCCTTCTCCTCTCTCTCTTCTCTCTCTCTCTCTCTTTTCTGTAACTATCTAGGTTACTTTTGATCACATCTATGCTGTGTCCACGCATTTAGAAGAGAATATTACATATATATTTCACTCCTCACGTGTACCTCATTGAAGCGTCTGGTGATCATGACGATGTGTGGAGGCCTTCTGCATCTCTCTGGTTTCATCCATTTCTGGCAGAGGAACTCCCTGCGGAGGACGGCAAGGGGGCGATTAGTGACCGGTGCTGGGGTGGGGGCTAATCGCTCGCCCTGCTGCATGCCATCGGCCCATCAGGACCTCTTAGCCCCTACCCCTCCCCCTCCCTTCCGGACGACGGCACGATAGTCGCACTTGGTTTACCGGGGGGAGGGGCGGGGGGGGGGGGGGGGGGCGCGGCACGGCTTGGAGCGCCAGCCGTCACGCACACTTCAGCGTTGTAAGCAGAGGGCGTCGACAGAAAATACGGGCGACGCTGGTGTTGACTGCAGCGTTCGAGGTCGGACTGCAACACATGGCTGTATTGTTTTAGGTGGCGTCGGAAATCTAGGAAGTTGGAAGAGGTCAAAACAAGGACAACTTTTTTCGCCGTAGTGTTTTTTTTCGGACAGTATGGCATGCAGCAAGGCAAACACGAAGAAGCAATAAACCGGCATAACACAAAATGCGGTGATTTTCATTTCAGACCTTGAATGGCCGACAGGTTGTTGAATGTGCTGCTTTAAATCCTTAGAGAAGAATAAAAAACATGCAAATGGTTTTTTTAGGCATCACGCCTCCGTGTTAAATAATTACAATTAACTAACACTTACAAGCTAAAAAGAATGGGTAAACTAGACGTGGGTAGGACGGAGTATAGGGCTGTTTCTTTCCATTATTTTCAAACCCCTGAGGAACAGCGAACCGTTGTGTTCACGGATGGAGTGAGGTCAGTGCATTGTGCCCAATTTCTTTTGTAGCACAGTTGGACGATATGCCTTTTGGACAAGTGGCTACATAAAGCGTGGATTTTACTTGGCGTTTTTTCGCATCAGTCGTATAAGAAGATAAAAGATCTCTTATCATAGCATGATGGTCGAAATTCTCAGCATTTTCCAGCGTTGTGTTGCACCAAGGGCTAAATTCGGATGATCAGTTTAACGGATGCGTCCTTGTACACGATGCACAAATGAAAAGAGGGTAAAATGTTCACTGCGGATGGCTTAAAACAAGCTTGGAAAAGGGCGCTTTTGACAAAAGCGACGGTAAACTTAATTGGATCCCCATACAAAACAATAATGTACTCTAATAAGCTCTGCAATCCAATAAGCCAGTCCAAACCATTTAGCCTAAACAATTGCAAATACACAAACGACTCGATGTAACAGCATCAATCAGATATCCGCCCGACGTTCTAAGCGTCACGTGAGAACTTGAATGGCTTACGATTTATTTGCTGAAAGGTGTCTCATGCCATATCAATACTACGCATTGACATAGTGAACCGTTGTACTTTGCGGCACCCATTATTGGTAATTGTGTGAAATTGAGTGAAGTGGTCACCCAGCCCATGGCTCGTACCGACTGGTAGATGCAACGCACCCTTTTGTGATCCTCAGCAAGAAGACGATTTTGAGTAGTTGTAAAATCCAAAGAGGCTCCGGACCAGAGAGATTGTGTGAGAAGGGAAGGAACTTTAGCATCACTCTTATTTGAGGCCCGTTAGATGAAAGGCTTGCACGCTATAGCGGCCGGCAGGCTGATCACTTGTTTTGCGCCTATTTGCCCCCCGAATGGCAACTGCAGTTTGGCCTCATGTGCTTGTTTCTACGCTTGGTTGAAATAAGCGCAATCTATGCGCACCAGTTGCTTTTCGGTTTTAAAGATGCAGTCCTGCCGAATATGATATATATTACTTTTAACAAATTGTATTATTTGCATTATTCAGCTCGGCAGGACATAGTGCTCCAGATATTTTTAATGGCCTTGATTCCGAAGCAGAGTGACTCAGGACACCTGGAGAATCTCAACGGCTTCATTTTAAAACAACACAAGCTAGTTTTCTGATGAACCATATCGAATCAATTTTCATTTAACTAAAAAAGCGGGCCATACAATTGTAAAGATATAACAGGCAGGTTTTGAAACAACAGTGAAATGGTGGTGGTAGGCACATACGGATGGCCTTCTTACCAAACACATCCACACACACTTTTCAGTTTCGACATATGAAACCAATACATTTGATATGATAGAAACGTACAACCTTACATTGCGCACTTATGGAAATGCGTGTACTGCTTAAGGTAACACAGTATCTACCGGACGGCTTGGATGCATTTCTATCTGTTCATCTAGACACTCAGAGCTTTGCACAAATACCAGAATTCGCACCCATGCCAGAAACTTAACTCCCTTAACGGTCACCCTCGCAACCCGTGTCAGAAACTAACAAACACAATGCGTCGCTGAACATATAGTAACCGACTGGTGATTTTGAGGACGAGCCGAGACGTCAACGAGAATGATTCCTCCCAGCACACAATAACACACGAGTGTCCTGCCAACGTTCCTCCGCAAAAACATATCAGTGACAATGCCGGCGCGCGAGTTCGTTTTGGCTGTCAGCCTGCATGTGTGGGCTGGCCGGGTGGCTGGTCGGACCACGCATGTTGCCGTTTTCACGGCTGGTCGTCCGGCTCGGCCTCCCCGCACCAATGGCCGGGCGGTCCGTCTCCTTCCGGTGTGTTCCGCTCCGGCGGTGGCTATAAGGGCCCACCGGCGGCCCGACAGCGTCTGGCCCTTTGAGCGCTCTAATGTTTCCATTCTGCCGCAGTCCACAGATCCTATATCGCCAGCACGCACTGAACAGCGCCAAAGGGCCGTCATCACTCAGGCCGCTAAGGCCGCTCCGCCGCGTGCGTTGCCAGCACGCAGGGACGCAGCCAGGATTTTCTTAAGGGAGGGACACAGAGCTTGATGGGCAAGCATCGCACCGTTGCTTAACTCTCTGTCGGGAACCATCTATGGTGAAACACAAAAAATCCACACCTAAGAGGGGTGGGGTGGCCGGTCTCCCTGGACCCCCCATATGTCGCGCCCCTGCCAGCACGACGCCCCGCTGCTGCCAGTGGGCGCGCAGAACGTCGATGCTTTTGGCGGGAGCAGCAGCCAAATAGAGTATTCTACGCAGAGCGTGGCCTGTTCAGAGCCTGTCGCGTGCAGGCCATGTTTAAATCCCACTTCAGAACGGCGGCGGCCGGGCCAAAACGGTTGCCGCGAGGATTGAATCCCGCCAGCTGCGCCCTTCCTCCAACTGCGAGCACGAGCACAGTGAATAATTTGCGGACCACATCCGCTGGCAGAATTGGAACTGGGACATGACGTCAGCGATTACGACATCCTGGCCTTCTCTCGCGACGGCATTGCTTCGCGGACATCGTCGAGTCCACCGTTGAGGAGTGCGCAGTAAGTCAGCCTATGGTCAGTGAAGCTCGAGGGCAGCTGACGGCCGGTATGCCGGCCGAACACATCGCCTCCTGCTTCATCCCTCCCAGGGGCGGTGCGGTTTGTGCCCCCCCCCCCCCCCCCCTCCCTCCCCGCGGCAGTCCCGTAGTACTGTTCCGGCCTGTCCCCACCAGCGGTGGAATCACCGTCGGACGGGAGGGGAACAGCGCGACACGCATCTGCGTACCGACACACATCATTACGCGTCCGAGGGGCGTCGCCACGACTGGGGCGGCGTGCGGCGCGCGACCGACCGGCGTCGCTCGGCGCCGGGCCGACGCCGCGGCGGCGACACGCACCCGGCTCGCTCGGCGCCGATGGATGGAGACCATATGTTCCGCTGAGCTGGCTGTGTCGGCTCGACGGCGAGCCCGGAGGAAACCACTTGAGTTGGAGCGGGGGAGGGAGGACGGAATCGCGCCGACACAGCCGAGGCGAGGTCAACAACAGCTGGTGCCGCCAAGTTCAGGCGTGCTTGACCGATTCGCTACGATCGCTTTAATGTATGTAAACACTGAGCGTTATTTGGCCGTATTGGGCGCCCCCGGTGCCTCGTTTTCTTTTCAAGACCAGCCCACGCGCCTAGGGTCTAGCCAAGTCAGCAAAACCGTCTTCGGAGCACATCAGTACGTAGAAGGGACCTCCCTGGGCCGTTAAAAGTGTCCGATCGATAAAAACGCAGTCAATAGGGACCGTTATAGCATAAAGCACATCATTATATTCAACCTCTTTAGCTTTCAGTAAACTAGCTCCAAACGTTTTTGACAGTCATGAGCACTGATCATGATAACAGCTGCATAGGGTCTTTCGCCGATTATGTCCATTTGCGCTGATGGAAACGGCCATCTGCAACAGCCGTTAACCACACCCCCATGCAAACCATTCCTGCGCCAGCTCAGGGTATTACCCCATTAAAGCAACTTGTTCGCTTGGACCAACTGCAACTACCGTAGGTCAACAGCACTGACGGACCTATCCTCCCAACTCCAAACTGTTTTTACCGCCCGCCTCCAGTATCGACTACCGGTGGTGGCACGAGGACACGAGTCTTCCGCCCCGCCGTCGCTGGGGGTTCGTCAGTTGTCTGTTATCTGCTGCCGACAGTGCAAGTAGCAGCACACACACACACACAAGCCGACAGTTGCTAGTCGTTGTCATCTGAGACGTGTGCTGAGACTGTCAGCGTCCAACAACAGAGGGAGCAGTGCCGGCTATTTCATGTAATACACCGCCCGTAGAGATGCGTCAGTCGTCCCTCTTTCTCACCAGTGGAGAAGTGTCAGTTATCCCCCACCCTCCACAACGGGATGTTGTCGGCTGCGTCCCTTGAAAATTGAACAGTGCAATTTATTATTTCTATCCCCAACACCAGTGATAACATCAACAGCCCTTCTGACCCCGGGTGGAGCCGCAGTGGCAGTTGGTTCCTTCACCTTTCAACCATGGAGCACCACCAGCAATCAAAGGGGGCGTGATGGCCGAGTGGTTAGCGCCTTGGACTGCCACGTGGGGGCTCGAGTTCGCATCCCGATTGCGCGATGGCCTCAGAGCACCAATATGGCGAATGCAGTTGGCGGCGCTACATAAAAGGACCGTACCAACGTACGTTACTCTCCCTAAAAAGGAATTACCAAGAATCTTCTATTTTCTCTGGCAGTTGGGTGATGTCCACGGGTGTCGATTTGTATTCTTTTGTGAGGGCTCTGCCCCCCCCTCCCCCCCCC